GCCGCTTGCACAAACGGAGCTGCGCGCATGCAACTTACAGCCCCCCCACACACACACACACCAGGCCGCCAAGCTGGAAAGGTTGGGAACCACAGCTTTAAGGAACTGGGGGGAGAGGAGAAAGGCTGCCAAATTCACCTTCTCCTGCCAGTTCGGTCCTAACTGGGATTGCCATGCCAGCCGCCTTGCTCTGCCAATCTTAAAAAGAGACCTGGGAACCATCTCAGGATTCCAACAACAACAACAGCAACAACAAAAAAAAAAACCCTGCCACTCTCTTTTCCAAAAAAAAAAAAACCCCACTGCTAGAACCCTGGTTATGCCCAGGCCGAGAGGTCGAAGTCAAGGGCCAGACACAGCCCACTTGCTGGCAATATAGCTGTCCACCAAAGGGCTAAGCATACCTACCTTTCGGAAAGGGGTGCCAGCTGTCGGGACTAGTAAAGAAACGGGGACTAGTAAAGAAAACAGGGACCTGCAGAAATGCGGAGGGGCCTCAGCTCACATTTCTGAGCGTACAGGAGGTGCTGGGCCAGCTCCAGGCTAAATATAGGAAGAGCTGTCAGTGAGCATGTGAGCATCATGTGGGGAGAAGAATCCAAACGGCAAACAAGCCGGGAAGCAAAGAGTGCTGGGGAAATGATCAGGTCCAGGGCAGATTGAGGAACAGTGCGAATTCCAAGAGAAACCACATTCCCAACAGGCCAGTTCCTGAGCCATGAATCCATGCGTGTTCATTGACCCTCAAAGAGCTCCAAAAAGAGATTAAAAGGTGCAATTGGATCAGGAGTCGTCCATAATCCCACCTTTGGATTCATGGCTACTGTCGCTGGGACAAGCAAGTCGGGGTTAAAGTCTGCCTGGCTTCTGTTCGGTCAGTTAAACATTAAACCAGTCCCACCAGAAGGAAAGAGGTAGGGGGAAAAGGAGCCCCCCCCCAAGAGAAGATGACATTGAGTTTTCCAGCTTTTCTGAACAAACGTGATCCAGGAAAGATTCTGTCTGCAAAGACATTTGGGAAGGGGGGAGCTGAAAAAAGGGCCAGAAATATACAAACTAAATGCTGATAAAGAATGTACGTTGAAGGAAGTGGTGCAGGATTTGCATATGGGATATCTCTTGCAAAATCTCCCCACGGCAGAGTTGACAATCTACTAAGTCAAACAGTTCTACCAATATTCCAAGCTACTCCAGGCATTTGAAATGTCCTCAAAAGGTACAATTTTCAAAGGTGCCAGGCTATGAATCTCAAGAGACCACCCTTGGGAGCTTTCCAAAACTCTCTCTTATTTTAAATGTTTGAAACCACCACTAAAAAGAAACTGCTCGTCCGGAAATGCCCTGGAACAAGCTATGAATGGGTGAGAGGTTAAACAGTAGGGGGGGGGAAAGGTTGCCCAATCAATTAAAGCAGTGGTTCTCATCCTTTTTAATGCCGCGACCCCCCAACCGGTCGTAAGTCGAGGACTACTCAACCAGTCGTAAGTCGAGGACTACTCAACTGGTGCAGCGCCGTTTGCAGAATGGGACTTTTGGCGGGCTCAGCAGGGCAGAGACAGCCTGGACAATTCCTATTGGCTTTTGAAAGCCAATAGAATTAGACTCTATTCAAGAGAGTCTATTCTATTGGCTTTCAAAAGCCAATAGAATAAAAGGGAGTAGCACAGCTAAGGAAAAGGGGGGGAAAAATGGCAGACTGCGTTGTTTGGCAACCCCTGTGAAATGGTCGTTCGACCCCAAATGGGGTCCCGACCCACACGTTGAGAACCACTGATCTACTGAGTATCTTCAGTTCCTCCTGGAGACAACTGTCAATGTTCCATCTGAGCAGGGGGTTGGACTAGATGACCTCCCAGGTCCCTTCCAACTTTATTATTGTTGTTGTTGTTGTTGTTATTATTATTATTATACCAAGACATCACTGTACTTCTCAACCACTCCAGCTTTTCTTATTGTCCTCTTCCTTTTTCGTTCTACATAGGTAGTCCTTGACTTATAACAATTCATTTAGTGATCGGTCAAAATGACAAGAAAAAAGAAAAAAAGAAAAAGACTTAAAATCGTTTTTCACACTTACAAGCATCCCCATGGTCACATGATCAAAATACAGACGCTTGACTCATAAATCTGAAGCCAGATTCACTTAAAAACCCGCGTTATTAACTTAATAACAGTGGTGATTCACTTAACTGTGGCAAGAAAGACATAAAATGGGGCACAATTCGCTTAACAGCCGCCCTGCTTAGCAACAGAAATTTTGGGCTCAACTGCAGTCGTAAGTCAAGGACGACATGCAGTACTGCAAGCTACTTCTCCTGACTTGTCGGCTGGCTACCTGCAGTTCGCAGTTCAATTCCCACTGGCTCAAGGTTGACTCAGCCTTCCGTCCTTCCGAGGTTGGTAAAATGAGAACCCAGATTGTTGGGGGCAATTTGCTGTAAACCGCTTAGAGGGGGCTGTAAAGCACTGTGAAGCGGTATATAAGTTTAAGTGCTATTGCTCAGGAAGGGAGGGAGGGAGGGAGCCGTAGTGGCGCAGTTATTAAAATGCAGTATTGCAGGCTGACCCTGCTCAGTGCCAGGAGTTTGATCCTCACTAGCTCAAGGTTGAGTCAGCCTTCCGTCCTTCCGAGGTCGGTAAAATGAGGACCCAAATTGTTGGGGGAGGCAAATATGCTGACTCTGTAAAGCGCTTAGAGAGGGCTGTAACGCACTGTGAAGCAGTATATAAGTTTGCAATGTATGGATGTGAAAGTTGGACCATAAAGCACCAAAGAATGGAGGCCTTTGAACTGTGGTGCTGGAAAAGACTCCTGCGAGTCCCCTGGACTGCAAGGCGATCAAACCGGTCAGTCCTAGAGGAGATCAACCCCGACTGCTCTTTAGAAGGCCAGATGCTGAAGTTGAAACTCAAATACTTTGGCCACCTAACGAGAAGGAAGGACTCACTGGAGAAGAGCCTGATGCTGGGAAAGATGGAGGGCAATAGAAGAAGGGGACGACAGAGAATGAGATGGCTGGATGGAGTCACTGAAGCAGGAGCGTCAGCTTAAATGGACTCCAGAAGATGGTAGAGGACAGGAAGGCCTGGAGGAACGTTGTCCATGGGGTCGCGATGGATCGGACACGACTTCGCAACTAACAACAACAACATAATGCATGATATGGGTAATCCAGGAATCAAATTCAACGAAAGGCCATTTTTGATGTGTGTGTTTTTTTTAAATTCCAAACAGAATATTAGGTTTGATGAGAGAAGGACTTCCTTCTTTAGAATTCTCCTTATTCGCAGGTTCTTCACAACTGAATCTCAACTTTTATTTTCCCTTCAAGGACTCAGTCAAACCAATCTTCTCTCCTACCAAGAAGTTCTCCTCCTTCTCCACTCCAGATTTTTCTGTATCATCTTCCCGAGTGCTATCCTTAATCCTTTCACAGAGAACAAAATAAATCAATGGATCAACATCAGAGCTAAGCCAGTATATTTGAGGATAAATTGCAAAGCCTAGAACAACAGGAGACAAAGAGTTTGAAAAGGGAGAACTAAAGAAGAACCGAATAGAAAAGCCATCAATGCTTTTGAACTACCTAATTCAGGGGTTTTCCAACTTGGCCCTTTTATGACTTGTGGACTTCACGTGTGCCTGGCTGAGGAATTCTGGGAGTTGAAGTCCACAAGTCATAAAAGGGCCAAGTTGGAAGACCCCTGAGCTAATTTAACTGGTAGACGAAGAATGCACAGCTTGACATTTCATTAACTTTTCTCAGTTCTTGCCTCTGATCCAGGTACATTTCCATACACAGGTAGTTCTCAACTTACAACCATTCGTTTAGTGACTGCGAAGATACAACGGCCCTGGAAAAAGTGTCTGATGACCATTTTTCACACTTACGACTCTTGCGGCATCCCCGTGGTCACGTGATCTAAATTCAGACGCTTTGGCAACTGATTCGTATTTATGACGGTTATGCAGCGTCCCCGGGGGTCACAGGATCCCCTTTTGCCACCTTCTGACAGGCCAATTCAATGGGGAAGCCAGGTTCACTTAACAACTGTGTCAGAGATTTGCTTGACTGCGGCAAGGGAGGTCGTAAAGTGGGACAAAACCCACTTAACAAAGGTCTCACTTGGCAACACAAATCTTGGGCTCAATTTTGGCCGTACGTCGAGGAGGACCTGTACAGGTCCTTGGCTTGCAAGCGTTTGTTCAGTGAGGGTGTGAAAATGCAAAACCGCTTTATCAAAGAAAGGTGACTTGTGATCGTTTTTCACAAGACCGTTGCAGCATCTCTGTGGTCACGTGATCAACATCCGGCCACTTGGCGCCGGACTCATATTTACACCCGCTGCAGAGCCCCGCGGGGTCATGTGTGACCCCCTTTTGCGCCCTTCTTGGGAGCAAAGCCCATGTGGGAGCCAGAGTTACTGCCGTGCTACTCACTGCCACCATTTCACTTCACAATGGTGGCAGGAGAGGTGGTAAAATGGGGCAAAACTCGAGAAACTTGGGGTGCTCAATTGTGGTCGTTGAGGACCACCCTCACTTTCAATCCCCCAGGGAAAGATCTGAAGAGACCACCTGAAGAGACTAGAAGCATTTGAAATGTGGACTGACAGGGCGGCTGTTACGGATAAGCTGGGTTGACAAGAACAGAAATGAGGAGGCGATCAGCTGCCTGGGAAAGCATCAAAACAATTAAAAAACAAAAATTAGACTATTCCGGTCATGTGATGCGAGACCCAGAAAAATACAGCATACTCCATTTAATCCTCCAGGGAAAGATGGAAGGCCAACGAGGTCCAGGCAGAAGAAGAACATCGTGGCTTCAAAATCTAAGGGACTGGTTTGGACAAAACCCAGCAGCACTTTTTCGTGCGGCTGCTGATAAAAACAGGATCGCCAACATCCGATAACAGATATGGCACAAGAAGAAGGGAAAGACCGGCCATTTTAGGGTGAAACCCAAGCAGCGTGTGCAGGCGTGCGTTTGTGCACTTACCGAAAGGGCCAAATTCTGTGGTGCTGGCTCCAGGGTAAAAGCTGGGGGCACCAGGCTGGACAGGATACTGCTGCGTCGGAACAACGTATGTGTTGCGACCCTGGAAGAGGAGGAGAAATAAAGCAGGTGAACCCTCAAGATTGCTTTCCGAAAACAACAAAGCAAGCGCCACTGAATTGAGGGAAGTGGTCCAGGAGTCCATCAGATCCAGCAGCAACGAAGAACAAAACAAAGACTATACTTTCGTACGCTGATCCTCCCTCTGCTTTTAAGCTGCGGCATTCAAAAACGGAGTAAATCCTCCTTACTAGCTTAAGAAATCTTTTTCCCAACCTTAAAACTTTTTTTTTTTTTTTTTAAGATTCATGCAGAGCCAATTTGTTTACTCACCCACTTGTCTGGTTCAGCGGCACCCAAAAATTCCAATACTGTTTGCGGAGATGGTGTTGCCTTCCTTTCTAAATTCTTCCCCTCCACCCCAGATCTAGTCTGACTCCCTTTAAGGTGACTAGCCTCTGCCCTACAAGTCTCTGGGAGCACCACCCATCACGGATTACATCCTAGTAATTGCAAATGTAACCATTGGTTTGAGAGTATCCTTTGCACCAACGATCCACACCTTTAAATGTGAAGGGAGAGCACGTAAGAGTCCAGAGCAGTGGTTCTCAACCTGTGGGTCGGGACCCCATTTGGGGTCGAACGACCATTTCACGGGGGTCGCCAAACAACGCAGTCTGCCATTTTTCCCCCCTTTTCCTTAGCTGTGCTACTCCCTTTTATTCTATTGGCTTTTGAAAGCCAATAGAATAGACTCTCTTGAATAGAGTCTAATTCTATTGGCTTTCAAAAGCCAATAGGAATTGTCCAGGCTGTCTCTGCCCTGCTGAGCCCGCCAAAAGTCCCATTCTGCAAACGGTGCTGCACCAGTTGAGTAATCCTCGACTTACGACCGGTTGAGTAGTCCTCAAGTTACGACCGATTGGGGGTTGCGGCATTAAAAAGGTTGAGAACCACTGGTCCAGAGGGACCAATGGATTATCTGCAATTTAACCATCAGTCTGCAATCCCTTTTCTCTGAAAGGAGAAGCTTAGATGGTTCTCATAGCTGAGATTCTCTGCTTCTTGTATCTTCACAAGGCAATATAAGATTCTCCTTTTGACCGGCTAGACACACCTCTTGTGATGCTTACAGGGCGAGGCCCTCATACCTATGAGTTAATGTAGCCTAAATTTAAGAGTTTGGAAGAGGCGAAGAACAGCAGGAGAGCAAACCGGATGACCTTGCAAGGGAAGAGCCCAGGATGGAGCTGATGTCGCACGGCAAGATTTCGTTATAATCTCACATGGACTAAAGGAGATGTAGTATCAATATGAAACAGTCCCAAACCCACACAATGTGTTTCACGTGAAGCTGCAGAAGGCCTCACCTGGGGGCTAATTTCCCTTTCTCTTTTATACACTAGGTCTCCATTTTCTAAAATTAGGCTTGTCGTCTACAGCAGTGGTTCTTAACCTGGGCAATATTGCCCCCCAGGGGGCAATTTCATTTTTCAGGGGGGCAATGGAACAAATAGGGGTGATGTGGGGGCAAAGGAACGAAAAGGGGGCGATATGGGGGCGATGGAGCGAGAAGTTTTGGGGACACTTTTGAGACTTTTTCGTGCAGTGAATCGCTGTATATCTGTCGTACAAAAACATCAGATTGCTCGCTATTAGTGGATTGAATTGTGTTTTCAAATGTTCTTCCAGCTAGCTTCAGTACAGAATGCCGTACATATGTGAATACGCGTCGCTTATCTTCATGCGCGTTGCACAGCAGCCTCTACCCTTTTTATATTTCTTTTTGCGTCTTAAATTTTACTTGTAATTCAATCATTAAATATTACTGTTTTTCTTTTCGGGCATTTCACATTCTTGCAACTGAATTTTGTTTTCAAAGTGGTCATTACATTTAAGTGTCTTGAATAAATAAGATAATAATGAAATATTTGTATCACGAAGTTTGGGAATAAAGTGACGGGTGGCACAAAATTTTTCATACAGTTGAGATATGGGAAAAAATCTGGAAATAAATTATTTGCATCGATATGTCCTGATTGATAATTTTAAAGAAAACAAAACAAATGTTTGCATAAATTGAAGAATTCTTTCCTATGTTGTGATTGAGAGGTTATGTTGGGGGAGGGGGGCGATGACAACTTCCTCATTGGCTCAAGGGGGCGATTCGTTCAAAAAGGTTAAGAACCACTGGTTTACAGAACTTGTATGATTAAAAACATCAGAAACTCCTTTGTTTTAAGCTGATCAAGATGTCGCTCATATTTATTAAGGGACTGGAACTAAAGGAACTGACTTCAGGTGAATAGCCTGGGACCAAAGCTTCAGAACAGGGGTCTTCAAACTTGGCAACTTTTAAGACTTGTGGAGTTCAACTCCCAGAACTCTACAAGTCTTAAAAATTGCCAAGTTTGAAAACCCTTGCTTTAGGAGAAAGCTCACGTTACATCTTGACCTTCAACAGCAATCAAAAACATTTTCATGTGTGAACTGTTGAGTTTAGACCAGTGGTTCTCAACCTTTCTAATGCCGCGACCCCATAATACAGTCCCCCAACCACTTATACATCACTGGGTGCCAGGGGCATGGCCAAAGAAAAGAGGAAAAAAATGGCGGACTGCGTTGTTTGGCGACCCCCATGAAATGGTTGTTCGACCCCAAATGGGGTCCCGACCCACAGGTTGAGAACCACTGGTTTAGACCGGTTGGGGGACTTACGACCGGTTGAGTAGTCCTCGACTTACGACCGGTTGGGGGGGGTCGCGGCATTAAAAAGGTTGAGAACCACTGCTTTAGGAGAAAGCTCACATTACATCTTGACCGTCAACAGCAATCAGAAACATTTTCATGTGTGAACTGTTGAGTTTAGACAGTAGGTTTTGCAAGAGTTCCCGTAAGGCTTCCTCAGCAGTCATTCCTGGACACGTTACGGAAACCAAGCCAAGCTCATTTCCTAAAAATGGTGCAAAATACATATTTTTGCTCCAACTGGCTCGGGACAGGTAAGAGGAGGAAGGTCAGAGGAGCTGTCCTTTGCTACTGACTCACGGTGAGCGCCGTTAAATCCCGTGAAATAAAATAATCGGCCCACAAGTTTGGTTGTTGTACAAGCAGCTCAGCTGAGCAGGAGTCGACTCACACCAGGTAAACCCAATCTCTGCCTTTACCTCCTCATCCCAAATGATTTTCTGCTGTTTCTGACAAGAGGCCAGCACCCCATTCCTGCCTTCCCCCACAGGGCGGGAGGCATTTGCCCACATCAGCAGGGTGACAATTTACCAATGAGGGCTTGTTTGACCCAATGCAAGCTATCCCCAGACGAAAGACAACGAAGACCGTAGTGTTACAGAGGCCGCTGGAGCCAGGACTGGGATGCTATCTGTTGACAGGCGGGAGGGCAGACCAGATAACTTACCCCTCTCCTCCTCCTTACACCAACCCCAGAGGGAAGGCGAGCTACACACACCAGTTTAGAGGAGGCACGCGATGGCTTGGCAAAGCACGGCAGGCTCTCCGCTGCCGCGCAACGAAGAAGGCCGCAGCCTCCATCTAACCCTCACCTGTCCAGGGATGTAGTAGGCACCTTGCGAAGCAGGATAGGAGATCTGTGAAGGGATCATCATGACCTGGGAAGCAGCTGGATAAACATGAGTGGGTGGGCCAGGCCGAGCCGACGTGTTACTCTGCACCCGGGAAGCACTGGTCGGTGCCTGGGCCCTGCTCTGGTAGAAATGCTTCAAGAGAGAAAGGAGAGGGAGGCGCTTAGTTAGTAAGGCCAGGCCTGAGGAGTCCCAGCTGCTTCCCCTACAACTAGCTAGCCCCACCGTAGGTCTCCTGAGACTGAACGTGTCAGGAATCTGCCAGGGGTCCAGATGCAGGTAGTCCTCAACTCACGACCACAACTGACCCCCCCCCCAACGCTTGTGTCATTCAGTGAGAAATTTGTTGAGTTTTGCCCCGGTTTTTTTTACGACTTTTAAGCGAATCACCGCCAAGCTGATCAATTAGTCCACTGCGGTGGTTAAGGGAAACCGGGCTTGTCGGGAGGTCGCTAAACAGGACCCCGGGGAGACGACGCAACTGCCATAAACGTGAATCAGTTGTCCAGCATCCGAATGTAAACCACGTGGCCGTCCCGCAAAGGCCGCCAAGTGCGAAAAATGGCCATAAGTCCCCCCCGCTTTTTTTGCCCCCAGTACCCTTGTAACTTCAAACGGTCGTTAAATGAACGGCTGTTAAGTCGAGGACTACCTGGACGAGGACAGCCACGGCCGAGCTTTGCTGAATTTCGGGACGTACCAACTGGCTCCTGAACGAAAGCCTTTTCCAAAGCCGAGAAGGATGAAACGAAAGGCTAGGATGGAGCCTGTCGGGGCTACGCTTGGCCCAAAGTCTTCAGAGGGAAAGACAGTGGGACCCCCTGCCCAAAAGTGGGCTTTGGAGAGCTAAAGGAGTGGAGATCTGTTTCCGCCGTTTCTAAGCCCTACAACCAACCTTTGTTATGAATAAGAGGCAGGGAAAGGCAAAAGGGAGGGTGGGGAGGAAAAAAATCAGCCCAGGTTAACCTGTGGCTTCTCTCTGCTGACTCTCCGCCCTCGGCTGCATTCATATATGTGCCCTCTTCCCAAATGGACCGAGTCCTGTAAAATAAACTGGATTGCAGACCCAGGGTGAAAATGCACACAGGTAGTCCTCGGTCCTAACTGGCTGAAGTTACAAGGGCACTGGTTGGGGGGGGGGAACTGACTTCTGACAAGTTTTTCACACTTACAACCGGTGCAGCATCCGTCTCCCCCCCCCGGGTCATGTGATCAAAATTCGGGCAAAAGCAGGGGGGGGGCAGATTCACTTTACAGCCCTGTTGCTAAGTTAACAACTGCAGTGATTCGACTTAACAACGGTGGTAAAAGGGGGCAAAATTCACGTCGCAACTGTCTCGCTTAGCATCGGAAAAGCTGGGCTCAACTCTGGTCGTAACCTCAAGGACTACCTGTTAAGGCAAATGTTCCCTATCCTATAAAGGTGGAATTATTTGTCCCCTTTCCCCCTTATCACCAAACAGAGGGCCAGAAAACGACAAATTATATGGAACAGAAGTTGGCAATGCTAGGATGTTACGAATCCTGAAAACGTTCCCCGCGTTTCAGTTAGCTATCCTAGAGCAGTGTTTCCCAAACTTGACAATTTTAAGGCATGAGGACTTCAACTCCCAGAATTCCACAGCCAGCAACGCTGGCTGTGGAATTCTGGGAGTTGAAGTCCACATGCCTTAAAATTGTAAAGTTTGGGAAACACTGCCCTAGAGAAAGAACATGCAACCCATTCTCTTTAGCCCTTGAGACACGGTAGGGGCACGCTGACATTAAATGCCCCGGGGACAGGATTTGGTTTTCTTTAACCTGGTGCCCTGAAAGCCATCCTTCCGCTTTTTAATTAATTTTTAACATTGCTTTTCATCATCCTTGCCTCTTTTTAAATTTTAACTGCTGTACGCTTTTTATTTTTTTTTCACCTTAGCATTTTACTGTACATCGCCCAGAGTTCCTCTTTGAGGGAAGATGGGAGGGGGGGGGGTCCCAAAACGTGACAAATAAACAAAATTTCAAGAATTCCTGTTAGCAGGGGTTATATTCTGTGAGTTATACGTAATCTCTACAATTTGAGGAATTGAGGAACTGGAGGAAAACTGCAGTAACACCACACTTAGGGTGGGAGGAGAAGAGAAAAAACAACGGAGAGTGAAAGAACCAAATCCGCTGAAAAAAAAAAGGAGGGAGAAGATGTATACCGAGAAGCAGAATGATCGTGGAAAGCAAAGGAAGGTTTGTTATGAATCAGAGGAAGTCACAGACCCATCCCACTTTTCCAGAAGTTTGTGCAAAATGGGATTGGGTTGGGGGAAGAGAAAAAAAAAAAACCAAAATCTTCTAAGACAGGGGTAGGCAACCTTGGCTCTTTTATGACTCGTGGACTTCAACTCCCAGAATTCCTGAGCCAGCATGGCTCAGCTTGGAAACGTCTCCCTTTCCCCTCAGCATGGCTGGCTCAGGAATTCTGGGAGTTGAAGTCCACAAGTCATAAAAGAGCCAAGGTTGCCTATCCCTGGCCTAGGCCTGTATTTTTCAACCTTGGCCACTCGGAGATGGGTAGACTTCAACTCCCAGAATTCCTGAGCCAGCATGGGGGAACTATGGCCCCTTCATGACTCGAGAACTTCAACTCCCAGAATTCCTGAGCCAGCCTGGCTCAGCTTGAAAACCTCTCCCTTTCCTCTCAGCATGGCTGGCTCAGGAATTCTGGGAGTTGAAGTCCATGAGTCATAAAAGAGCCAAGGTTGCTTCCCCTGTTCTAAGATCTCGTGTTCCCTACAGGCTAAATTACAGCTGTTTTAACACCATAGGAAAGTACAATTACAGCACCAAGGGGCGTTGGGGTACTTCCACGCATAGGTGCCCCCTCCCACTCCCAGCCCAAGTAGGATTATAGAAAAGGGATTACCTGGAGAGACCTGAATCCGCCCTGTTTAGCACCACACAAACACACACACACACAAACACACACACAAACACACACACACACACACACACAAACACAAGGAGAAAAGGGAAAAAGAGAAAGAGACAGAAGTTACCTACAGCCAGACATGTTAACAGGCACCTGGGAAGACCCCAACACTCAGCAAGAAAGTAACTGCAGCCATGTGAAAAAGAAGCTGGAATGGGGTGGAGGGGGCTGGAAGGATAGGGAGAAGAGCAGGTCAATAGGGACACATGGCTTGCACCCCCCCAAAAAAAGGTGAATGGGTCATTTTAAGGCAGTGTTTCTCAACCTTAACAATTTTAAGGCATGTGGACTTCAACTCCCAGAATTCCACAGCCAGCGTTGCTGGCTGTGGAATTCTGGGAATTGAAGTCCACATGCCTTAAAATCGTCAAGGTTGAGAAACACTGTTTTAAGGGAATGTAGACAGCAGAGATGGCTTTGCTTGTTTTCGTACAATCCCGTTGGGAAGGGGTTCAAAAAAGTTCTGGAAATCCCTGAAACTTTGAGCCCCTCTAATGGAGACCCTAATGGATAGAGCTGGTGGGCTGCACGCATCAAATAACAGAATTGGAAGGGACCTCGGAGGTCCTCTAGTCCAACCTCCTGCTCAAACAGGAGATCCTATACCATTTCAGACAAATGGCTGTCCAAACTCAGAAACCTCCAGTGTTGCGAGGATCCACAATTTCTGGAGGCAAGCTGTTCCGCTGATGAATTTGTTTTCTCTGTCAGGAAATTCCTCCTGGATTCTAAGTTGCTTCTCTCCATCTGTTACTTCCAGTCTTGCTCTCAAGTGCTTTGGAGAATAGCTTGACCCCCTCTTCTTTGTGACAGCCCCTCAAATATGGGAACGCTGCTGTCCTGTCACCCTTAATCCTTCTTTTCACTAGACTAGACATCCCCAATTCCTGCAACCGTCCTTCCTATGTTTTAGCCTCCGGTCCCCCAATCATCTTTGTTGCTCTTCTCTGCACTCTTTCCAGAGTCTCAACGTCTTTCTTTTTGATACTGTAATCCTCAGCGTGCCTGGCTGAGGAATTCTGGGAGTTGAAGTCCACAAGTCATAAAAGGGCCAGGTTTGAAGACCTCAGATCTTGATGCTTTTCCTCTGTTAAAGCGGCACCTGCTTCCTCTTTCTCTAGGACTTTTCTTCAAAGTTCTCCACCTCCGCCTTTCAACTCCCATTCAGGTCTCTGACGCCCCCCTCGTTCTTTCTTTCCCTCCTCTCTGTTTCCATTAAGACTTTGGCCAACCTGGTGCCTTCGCCTGATATGTGGGAAATAATGTCTCCTTAGCCAGGAGTTCTGGAATGCAGGTAGCCCTCGGCTTACAACAGTTCAGTTAGTGACCGTTCAAAATTACAACGGCCCTGAAAAGAAGTGACTTACGACCGTTTTTCACAGTTACGACCGTTGCAGCGTTCCCACGGTGGCGTGATCAAAATTCGGACGCTTGGCAACTGACTGGTATTTATGACCGTGGAAGTGTCCCGGGGTCATGTGATCACCTTTTGCGACTTTCGGACAAGCCAGGTCAATGAGGAAGCCGGAGTCACTTAACAACCGTGGGACTAACTTAACAACAAGATTACACAACAACTGTGGCAAGAATGGTTGTAAAACGGGGCAAAATTCACTTAACAAAAGTTTGGCTTAACAACAAAAATTTGGGGCTCCATTGTGGTCGTAAGTGGAAGACTACCTGTGCAGCCATCTTTCCCCACTTTTTCTTCCATGGATTGTCCCCAGACATACACACACAAATCTAGTGTGGAGGGAAAGACACAATAGTTGGATTGTTGTTGCTTCCATCCATGTGGAAGCTCTCGGCAGAGAAACAATCTTCACAGCCCCAGCATACTGGTTTGCCACCTCGCAATGTGGGACTCACAACTCACAAGAAACCTCTTTGTCAAGAGACCCAGATGAGGCAAGCACCCATCTTAAGTCTCCGTAGAAAAGGTGTGAGATAAAACATTTAAAAAGCATGCCAAAAACAACAACACGCAACTGCTGGCCTCAGAAACGAACGGCTTACTTAATTAGATTGTGACGTTTCAAAATAAATAAATAAAGATGAAGTCCTCAAGCTCTCTCATGAATCAGAGTTTTACCACAGATTTGAAGACGGCTATCTGTATTCCCTTCCCAAGAACTTCCTATTAAATTTTTTGGTCATCCAAAACTGTGCATTTTAATATGGTAAAGGCCACCTAGAAAAAAGGATATTTAATACAATGGTGTATTGGAGGGTCTCAGTGTAATTATGAATATTGGAATGGCCAAAGGGGTTTCCCAAAGAGGCATTTTCAAGAAGCTGAAGCAGAACCGAAGAATCTTCTTGGATAGAGAAGCGAAACGTCTTCAAGGAAAAAACTAAGAAAGTCCAGTTGCCTTTTAAAAAAGCACCTTTGGGACAACCGTGACGTGAATGACTGAGAATCTCCATAGACAAGGGCAGGGGTAGGCAACCTTGGCCCTTTTATGACTCGTGGACTTCAACTCCCAGAATTCCTGAGCCAGCATGGCTCAGCTTGGAAACCTCTCCCTTTCCCCTCAGCATGGCTGGCTAAGGAATTCTGGGAGTTGAAGTCCATGAGTCATAAAAGAGCCAAGGTTGCCTACCCCTGGACAAGGGAGTAACTGTTGAGAAACATCTAATCTTTCTCCTCTCCTAACCGAATTTACTACTTATATTTGGCTAGTTTCTAAGGATATTTTCATATCCTTAAGAGTGGCAGTAACATGCCCCAAGCATTGGGGAAATAATTTCAGGTTCATACAGGTAGTCCTCGACTTACAACCGTTTGTTTAGTAACCGTTCAAAGTTACAGCAGCACTGAATAAAAGGGACTTGAGGACCCCTTATTCACACTTACAACTGTTGCAGCATCCCCAAAGTCATGTGATGCTTGGCAATTGGTTCATTTTTATGACGGTTGAAGAGGAGGGTCCCCTTTTGCGACTTTCTGACAGTCTCCATGGAGAAGTCAGTTTCACTTAACAACCATGTTGCTAGCTTAACAACTGCAGTGATTCACTTAACAGCGGCAGCAAGAAAGGGCACAAAATAGGGGAAAACTCAAGTTAACAGCTGTCTCACTTAGCAGTGGAAATTTTGGGTTCAACTGGGATGGCATGGTAAGTCGCGGACTACCTGTAACACACTAATGGAAAGTATTAGAGGACTGGAGGCTAAAACATATAAGGAACGGTTGCTGGAATTGGGTATGTCGATTTCAGGGGTAGGCAACCTTGGCTCTTTTATGACTCGTGGACTTCAACTCCCAGAATTCCTGAGCCAGCCATGCTGAGGGGAAAGGGAGAGGTTTCCAGGCTGAGCCATGTTGGCTCAGGAATTCTGGGAGTTGAAGTCCACGGGTCCTAAAAGAGCCACGGCTGCCCACCCCTGGTCTAGTTTAATGAAGAAAAGGACTAGGGCAGCGGTTCTCAACCTTTTTATACGGCGACCCCCGGTCACATGGCGCGGTGCGCCGGGCTGCCCCGAGGGGGAAAAATGGCGGATCGCGTTGTTTGGCGACCCCCGTAAAATGGTCGTTCGACCCCAAATGGGGTCGCGACCCATAGGTTGAGAACCGCTGGACTAGGGGGTGACATGATAGCTGTGTTCCGATATCTCAGGAGTTGCCCCAAAAAAGAGGGAGTCAAGCAGGACAAGACGCAACAGATGGAAACTGACCAAAGAGAAAAGCAACTTGGAACTAAGGAGAAACTTCCTGACAGTTAGAACAATTAACCAGTGGAACAACCTGCCTCCAGAAGCGGTGAATGCTCCAACACTGAACGTTTTTAAGAAGAGACTGGACATCCATTTGTCTGAAAGAGTACAGCGTTTCCTGCCTGAGCATGGGGTTGGACTAAATGACCTCCAAAGTCCCTTCCAGCTCTGTTGTTGTTGTTGTTGTTGTTGTTATTTCTTCTATGCAAGTTGTCCATGCAAGATGACCTTAAGTGATGGGGGTTTTGTACATATTAACGAAAGAAAGAGCCAAATCAGTGAATTATTCACTGTCCAAACTGTTGTACTGTGTTAAAAAAAAAAAAAGCCCTCCCTTTAAATATCTTTATGCCAGTGGTTCTCAACCTGTGGGTCGGGACCCCATTTGGGGTCGAACGATCATTTCATGGGGGTCGCCAAACAACGCAGTCTGCCATTCCCCCCCCCTTTTCCTTAGCTGTGCTCCTCCCTTTTATTCTATTGGCTTTTGAAAGCCAATAGAATAGACTCTCTTGAATAGAGTCTAATTCTATTGGCTTTCAAAAGCCAATAGGAACTGTCCAGGCTGTCTCTGCCCTGCTGAGCCCGCCAAAAGTCCCTGTCTGCAAACGGTGCTGCACCAGTTGAGTGGTCCTCGACCTACGACCGGTTGAGTAGTCCTCGACTTACGACCGGTTGGGGGTCGCAGCATTAAAAAGGTTGAGAACCACTGCTTTATGCAGTTTAGAGATGTGTCTTAATGGTCTCAAAATTGTTATATGCAAAACATTAGAAAGTGATCTTTAACCCCAGGGAAAATACCAGCAGCTTAAGGAAGTGAGATGGCTTGTTTATTTTGGCTAAGCCTGCAGTTTATCAAAGATTGCAGATAGAATATGAAAACTTTAAAAGGTTGCTTGCAGTTTCAACTGCCTATTATGTAACAGCAAATTTTCAGGCTGTAAAGTAGAGCTGTGCAATAGGCGAATGTAAAAAAAAAATGCTAGGTTTTTTTTTTTAAAAAAACAAATGCAGGTAGTCTACTTATAACAGTTCGTTTAGTGACTGGTTCAAAGTTCGAACGGCACTGAAAAATGTGACCTAGGACTGCATTTCTTACTTATGACGATGCAACATCCCCATAGTCATATGATTGAAATTCGAACGCTGGGCAAGTGACTCATACTTACGACCGTTGCAGTGACCTAGGATCATGTGATCCCCTTTTGCATCCTTCGCGCAAGCAATGCTAGATCCCCTTAACAACCTTTTTACTAACTTAAGAACTACAGTGATTTGCTTAACAACTGTGGCAAGGAAGGTCGCAAAAGGGAGCAAAACATTCTTAACTGTTCTGCTGAGCAACGGAAATTTTGGGCTCCACTGTGGTCGTTAAGTCAAGGACTGCCTGTACCTCTTGCAAGGCCTTAACAAACTTGAGGACGGGAGAAACTAAGAAAAAAACTAGAAGGTGATGTCTCCCAAGATACACACCCTTTGAGTATCATACACAAGATAGGAAAGAGCAACTTCCTCTTAACCCCTTAGAACAGGGGTCTTCAAACGTGGCCCCTTTTATGACTTTGTGGACTTCAACTCCCAGAATTCCTCAGCCAGGCACGCTGGCTGAGGAATTCTGGGAGCTGAAGTCCACAAGTCATTAAAGGGACAAGTTTGAAGACCCCTGCCTTAGAATATTAGCAACTAAATCTCCACAGGCATCAAGCTGCAAAGTGGAAATATCCGTGTATGAATCAGCCTTACTACCCCAAAGGAGCATCTACACAATAGCTGGCTGGGGAATTCTGGGAATTGAAGTCCACCTGTCTTAGTTACCAAGGTTGCAGAACCCTGCTCTAAGAAATGATCAGTTGTCAATGCTAATAGGGATTAGCATCCTTAACCCTGGATAGTAATGCTCATTGTTGCTGTTTACAGTTCCCCACTGGGATTAAGCACGTGTTGGCCATTAGACCTGGCCTCTCTATGCCAAGAGAGTAGGGAGACCATTTGAGCTCCAGGGTGAAGAGGGTGGTCTCTTGCATCATCATCATAATAATAAAGTTGGAAGGGACCTTGGAGGTCATCTAGTCCAACCCCCTGCTCAGGCAGGAAACCCTATACCATTTCGGACAAATGGCTGTCCAGTCTCTTCTTAAAAACTTCCCGTGTTGGAGCATTCACCACTTCTGGAGGCAGGTTGTTCCACTGGTTAATTGTTCTGACAGTCAGGAAGTTTCTCCTTAGTTCTAGGTTGCTTCTCTCCTTGTTTAGTTTCCATCTGATTAGTTTCCATCTTGTCCAGGCATCAGTGCTGAATCAACATTCATAGCGCGAACAAGGCCCATGCTCTGTAAGTCCTTCGCCATGGATCTCATGTTCAACATTCTGTGTTGCAATTCAGCCTCAAGTTCTCACTGGGCCAGTGATAGACAGTTGTGGTGGATGTCATCCTGTCCTCTGACCCTCCCCAGGCGCCCTTGCAAATTTGCTGTGGAATTCTGAGCATGGAGAGGCCATGTCTAATGGCCAACGCGTGCTTAATCCCAGTGGAGGAAACTGTGAACAGCAACCATGAGCATTACTATCCAGGGTCATCGCTATGAGCATTGATAACTGATCACTTCCACCCAAAACTGAAAGGAGGGACAGAAGTGCGACTAAATACAGGCAGTCCTCGACTTATGACCACCACTGAGCCCAACATTTCTGCCGCTAAGCGAGACCTTTGTGGAGTTTTTGCCCCATTTTACGATTTTTCTGGCCACATTGGTTAAGTCAGGGGGTCTTCAAACTTGGCCCCTTTATGACTTGTGGACTTCAACTCCTAGAATTCCTCAGCCTGACACGCTGAGGAATTCTGGGAATTGAAGTCCACAAGTCATAAAAGGGCCAAGTTGGAAGACTCCTGGGTTAAAGGAATCACTGCAGTTGTTTTAAGTTGATAACAGGGTTGTAAAATGAATCTGGCTTCCCCCATTGACTTTGCTTGTCAGAAGGTGGCAACAAGGAATCGCATGACCCCGGGACACTGCAACCGTCATAAATATGGACTGCTGATCAAGCACCCAAATGTCAATCGCGTGACCATGGGGGATGCTGCAAACATCATTTAAGTGTGAAAACGGGTCGGGGTTTTTTTTCAATGCTGTTTACTTCAAATGGTCACTAAACGAACTGCTGTTAAGTCGACGACTACCTGTCGTTAGCTTGTCTCCTGAGTTCCCGTCCCTCGGATGGTGTGAATAATAATAATAAAGTTGGAAGGGACCTTGGAGGTCATCTAGTCCAACCCCCTGCTCAGGCAGGAAACCCTATACCATTTCAGACAAATGGCTGTCCAGTCTCTTAAAAACTTCCAGTGTTGGAGTATTCACTGCTTCTGGAGGCAGGTTGTTCCACTGATTAATTGTTCTCACTGTCAGGAAGTTTCTCCTTAGTTCCAGGTTGCTTCTCTCCTTGATTAGTTTCCACCCGTTGCTTCTTGTCCTGCCTTCAGGCGCCTTGGAAAATAGCTTGACTCCCTCTTCTTTGTGGCAGCCCCTGAGATATTGGAATACTAATATCCTGTCCCCCATGGGAAGACTTCAACTCCCAAAATCCTTAAATCAGCCTGGTCTTTCATCCAACATGCCAGACTGGGGGAGACTCTGAAGCACAGGCCCGAAGCACCCACATTTCAAAGTTTGCCAGTGATTACAGTGATTTAGGCCAGGATCATCCATTCCACATGACAGAGGCTAAGAAACTATCGGTTCCTAAGATCACTCCTTGAGATGGGTGTAGTAATAATACATGAACCGGGCTTCCTCGTTCATATCCCAATCTCTCCGCAGAGACTGGGTGGACCAGCAAGAAAGACACCTGAAGCTTTGATCTGACTCAGAAGCTTCACACAGAGGATCAAGCTTTCTTTCTGAATGTCAAACTGCACGCAGGAGGGAAGGCCAGCTCCGGAAGTGGCAGTTTTGTTCAGATAAAACACATCGCCCAATTCCGCCTGTGAAGATACAATCCTATTTGTTCACCAGGTGCCTGAAGCTTGGAAACAGTACGTGTGGGCTGAACGCCTAGATCAGGGAGTTAGGAAACCTGGGCTCTTTTATGACTTGTGGACTTCAGCTCCCAGAATTCCTGAGCCAGCTCGGTTCAGCTTGGAAAGCTCTCCCTTTCCCCTCAGCATGGCTGGCTCAGGAATTCTGGGAATTGAAGTCCACGAGTCATGAAGTGGCCTAGGCCTAGGCCAGAGGTAGGCAATCTTGGCTCTTTTATGACTTGTGGACTTCAACTCCCAGAATTCCTGAGCCAGCTTGGCTCAGCTTGGAAACTTCTCCCTTTCCCCTCAGCATGGCTGGCTCAGGAATGCTGGGAGTTGAAGTCCACGAGTCATAAAAGAGCCCAGGTTGACTACCCCTGGCCTAGATAAATCAGCAGGAAGGAGCATAAACTCCACCAAGATTCCTAGGTGGCAGGTTTCTGGATGTTTTTTTAAGAATGCCAAAAAGTAGGCATTAGGCAGTTTTAAAATAAATTTAAGGTTTTACAGACTGAGGAGAACGTGTCACTGCATCACAGCGGAACCGCGCCTCCGATCCCATTGCTGACATCTTGCCTAAGTTAACACCAGCTCAATTCCCAGGTCCCAGCCTAAGGCGACAGGGAGAAAACTCCCATCATCCCCTCGGCCTTCATTCCCAACCAAGCAAGCTCTCTGACAGCTGGATGTGATGGAGGAACAGAGACACACACACCCCATAGCCAAGGGGGATGTAGGGGTGGCTATTTGGGGACCACGGAGGGCACAGCCCTTCTAGGGGGTCTGCAGGCAGTCTGCCAACACAGAGACAGAGAACAGAGTCTGGGGCTCTCGAAGATGTGCAACCCACCGAAAGGTCGCGAACAGGGGTAAGGGAGAAGGGAAGGAAAAGGCCGAACGTCTTGCGATCAGTCCTGGGAGTGGCCAGGAAGCCCGTCCGTCAAAGGGGAAGGGAAGAAGGAGTGCCAAATGGGGAAGCCAGGCAGCAGGAGTTGAGTTTTCCAAAAATGAGAAACGGTGACAGAGAAGCACTATCATGAGTCAGATGCCATGCAAGTCACAAGGGAAGGGTGGGTGGGGAAGCTTCTGGGCTGTGGACACTGCAGTCAAACTGGCCCTAACCACAATCTGTCGGTCGTAAACTCAGGGGAAAGATGGCCCTAGCAATCGCAGCCCCCGAGCCCCTGCTACGGGTTCTCTTTTCCAGGTTTGATTTGTGTTGTTCTTGATGGCAAGGAAAGATCCCCTGGTCTTTTTTCCCACCCCAACAAACTCTCCCTGCGTACTTAAGAACCGATCATCGGCTCCCCTTTCAAACTCGTCGGCAGCCGTGAGACCAAATGGCTCCTTATAGCGATCATAATCCGACTCAGGAAGCGGAAAAAAACAACAACACCCCAGTACAGGTAGTCCTTGACTTACAACTGTCCGTTTGGCCACCGTTCGAAGTTACAAAGGCACTGGCGGGAAAAAAAAGGGGGACTTATGACCGTTTTATCACCCTGAGGACCGCTGCAGCGTCCGGGCGTTACCTGATCAAAATTCGGATGCTTGGCCACTGGCTTACATTTACGACGGTGGCACGGCTTTGCGGGCCTTTTCACCCACCAAGGTGAAAGCCAGATTCGCTTAACAACTTTGTTATCAACTGCAGCGGTTCAGAATGGCTGTAAAACGGGGCAAAATTCACTGAACGGCTGCCTTGCTCAGCAACGGAAAGCTGAGGCTCGATTGTAGCCATAAGTCGAGGACTCCCGATACTGTCATCTGTCTTGAAAATTGGGCAGCTGAGAACGAAGGGGGGGGGTGAAGCTCTCCGGAGACAGGAGATCTCCCAGGAGACGCAGAGAGTCTAACCTGGGGGGGATTGACCCTGATCACCTCAGCCCCCTCCCCAACCCTGCGGTCAGTGGGCCCTGCAGTGTCCAAGCACCACCCCTGATCGGACGGCACCCTCCCCCTGGGATGGCATCCAGCATGCAGTGAGGCAAGCAGGGGAAGGTTAGTACCTGCTGATGTAAAGCACGAGGCCCTGCTGGAAACTAAGACAAGAAAGAGCGCGGGGAAAGGAGACAAGAGGAGAACATCACCGACAGTTACAGCCCCCCCCGTCTAATCCCTGCTTCCCCCCCCCTTCCCCAAATTCCTCTCTCCTCAGGGCAATTGAGCCGCCCTCCCTGCCTCCTCCTCTCTGCCACTCTCCATGCAAACCCTACCTAGGCAGTTTCCACCACGTGGCTGGCTCTGTGGTCGTGCTCATCCCAAACCCCCACCTGGCACACGCCGCAGAGGTGTTCCCGAGTCAGCGGCACCTGCAGACCGACTCAGCCTGCAGGGCTGCTTGTGCCCTGCCAGTTCCCCGGGCCAAAGCGAAGAACCTGTTTAGCAGCCCACATCAGAGAGGGCTCGGCTGCTGCCACCACCTCAAGAGAGTCCTGCAGCCCCCGTAGAGCTGCAGCCCTGGCGGCGGTCGCCACCCTCTTACCGGTCGAGGCTGGGAAGGCGTATTCATTTGGGTAGCTTGCGCTGGGTTAAAAACCACAGGTGCCGGCTGGCCAGGAGGAAATGCTGACTGCTAGGAGAAGGGAGAAGAGAAGAAGAAGCAGGTTAGCAGCTTCGCGGCAGTTGCCCCAACCCTCCACCCGCAGCTGTGGCAGCATTTGAGGAATATAAAGCTCTGACTCAAAGGCGAAAGGAAATTAAAATGGCGTTAGTCAACCTGCCCTCTGCAAAAGCCAGCCAAGAGGCCAAAGGCAAGCGATCGACAGAAAAGTTCATTCTGGTAAAAATTGGAGCAGGGTAACAGGAACTATGGCCTGTTTAGGACTTGTGGACTTCGACTCCCAGAATTCCTTTTTAGGACTTGTGGACTTCGACTCCCAGAATTCCTGAGCCCGCCTTTTTAGGACTTGTGGACTTCGACTCCCAGAATTCCTGAGCCAGCCTTTTTAGGACTTGTGGACTTCGACTCCCAGAATTCCTTTTTAGGACTTGTGGACTTCGACTCCCAGAATTCCTGAGCCAGCCTTTTTAGGACTTGTGGACTTCGACTCCCAGAATTCCTGAGCCTGGCTGGCTGGCTGAGGAATTCTGGGAGTTGAAGTCCACAAGCCCTAAAAGGGCCGTAGTTTCCCACCTCTGCTAGCAGTGTTTCTCAACCTTGACAATTTTAAGGCATGTGGACTTCAACTCCCAGAATTCCACAGCCAGCAATGCTGGCTGTGGAATTCTGGGAGTTGAAGTCCACATGCCTTAAAATTGTCAAGGTTGAGAAACACTGTGCTAGAGGATCTACCTCTCAAAGCGCCAGAAGAAGATAGAGCAGCAAAACCTGAGTATTATCTAGGGGAAAATGATTCCCCCGGAAGTAGCCCAGGGCAGAAGGTGGCCTGGGAAAGAGAATCCTTACCTGTGGAAGTCCAGGAGAAGGGGAGGGGTGTGGGGCTGATGGGGTTCCTCCTGAGGGTTGTGGAGCTTTGTTCATTTCACGTGTTGCTGCATAAGGATCCCTTTACTATCTGCAGAGAGGGAGAACGAGAGAAGGGTCATCCAAACGAACACAGGAGGAATGGGACACGGTGAACGCAGGGCTGAGAAAGTAAGCCTAAGGGTATGCAACACGCACAAGGCCAGAAGGCTTTGTAGGAATAGCTGAGGAAACCCAGATTTTTATGTCAATTTGCCACAGATGCACCCTTCCAAAGTGTATAAAAACCGGGACTTTTCAGAATTCTGTGGCCTGACAATGTTAAAAAAAAGGGGGGGTGGGGAGGAAATTATCTGTAACAAGAAAAAGGGCAGTCAAAATGTGCGGATGAGGACAAAGTCTACAGAAACATCATCGCTCTAAGGAAAGTAATAAACAGACCAGGAAGAACATGTATGAAACAGCGTGAAGCATGGATGGAAGATAGCAGTTCAGTTGAAATCATAAAACTGATAGAGAGACAGCAGAAGTAAAATGAAAAACCAGCCCGAGACGTAATTAGACAAGACCCTTCCCTCCCCTTCACTCAAAGAGGAAAGTCATATAATTCTCACTTCAAATGCTGTGGAACGCAGGTAGTCCTCGGCTTACGACCACGGCCTTGCTTAGCAGTTTCCACGGCTAAGCAAGATAGTCGTTAAGGGAGTTTTATGACCTTTCTTGCCAGAATTGTGAAGTGAATCACCACAGTTTTTAAGTTAGTGATACAGCTGTTAAGTGAATCAGGCTTCCCCATTGGCTCTTGCTTGTCAGCAGGTCGTAAAAGGGGATCACGTGACCCTTGGGACACTGGATCTGTCGTAAGTACCTGCCAGTTGCCAAACATCCAAATTCTGATCATGTGACCATGAGGATGCTGCAATGGTCTTTTAAATTTGGTCCTTTTACGGCATGTGGACTTCAACTCCCAGAATTCCTCAGCCAGCGTGCTTGGCTGAGGAATTCTAGGAGTTGAAGCCCACAAGTTGTAAAAGGGCCACGTTTGAAGGCCCCTGTTCTACAGCCACAGAGAAAGACCGTTCTGAGAACCGCCGAACAGAGTTTCTAAAACAGTGTTTCCAAGTTGCATGGACTTCAACTCCCATGCTGGCTGGGGAATTCTGGGAGTTGAAGTCCACTCAGTTTAAAGCTGCCAAGGCTTAGAAACACCAGTCTGAGCACTAGCTCGGTTCCCAAGCAATGCACAAAACTGACCCAACAGGCCTTACTAAGAAATTCAATGGTCTTTCACGCCAAGTTTTTTCTCCACCCTATTTCTCTCTACCTGCAATGGATGCCGTCTCACTGAAATCTTTAGCAGTTAAAATTCCCCCCTTGTACCTCAACCGAAGCCCCAAAACCTCCAGCTCAACCTTCTCCACATGGTGGCTCCCATTATTTTGCCTCACACACTGAAGGGAGTAGGTTGTAACTAGTATCTAGGGGAGCTGCTGACACACCTGTACAAGATCAGTGTTTGTGTTTGTGTGTTGTGTGTGTAAGGCTTTTTTTCCTGATAAAAAGAGCTAAAGCAAAAAACAAAGGGGTGCTTCTCCCTCACCCTTTATTCACCTAAGAGAGTTAAGGACACTCCTGTAGGGTCAGGATCCAATCCTGAAGGGCACTTGCTTAGGCCAGGGGTCTTCAAACTTGGCCCTTTGATGACTTGTGGACTTCAACTCCCAGAATTCCTCAGCCAGGCATGCCTGGCTGAGGAATTCTGGGAGTTGAAGTCCACAAGTCATCAAAGGACCAGGTTTGAAGACCCCTGGCTTAGATGGTCAAGTAATTTGGCTAGCCTTATCAAGGTCCTGCTCAAAAAGACTGATTTAAAAGTCATTTGAGTTCCTATTAAATCTCAGTCTAGCACAGGAGTAGGCAACCTTGGCTCTTTTATGACTCATGGACTTCAACTCCCAGAATTCCTGAGCCAGCATGGCTCAGCTTGGAAACCTCTCCCTTTCCCCTCAGCATGGCTGGCTCAGGAATTCTGGGAGTTGAAGTCCACAAGTCATAAAAGAGCCAAGGTTGCCTAGCCCCGGTCTAGCACAACTGTACCCAGCTTCCAGTCCCAGGGCAGTTCTGGACAGCTAGCAACGCGGCCCCATCAGAGAGTAAACTTTAGAACAATCTGTGATTTCTAAAGATTAACTGTATTATGAATTGCCCAAGCCAATTCCTGTTCACTCAACTGCAGCCCAAGTGAGCCAATCGGTTGGACAGGGGTTTTCAAACTTGGCATCTTCCAAACTTGTGGACTTCAACTCCCAGAATTCCTCAGCCAGCCATGCTGGCTGAGGAATTCTGGGAGTTGAAGTCCACAAGTCTGGAAGTTGTCGTAGTTGCCCATAACTGCTCTACACTGCTTGTGAATTGTTCAATCAAGATGGAAGTCCGTGGGTTTTGAAAGAAGGCTGGGCCCAACGTCGCTTATTCCCTTCCTCTGCACTAACAGTTCCCCAAAAAAGAGAGGTTCCATCTTCCCCAGCCTTATGAGCTGCCTGATAGGCCCAGGAGTCCCAAGATGGCCCCCCGCTGAACCATTGACAACATTTAGTTCAGGCTCTCTTTGGGCGCCTGCCATGTCCCTGGGAAAGAGATTGAGCTGCTCTGAGCACAACTGCACCGTCGGCAACAATTCTTTTCCATACACACACACACACACACACACACACACACACACACACCCTTGCAAGCAGCCAATGTGCCTGTGATGCAGCATCACACCCTGGTGTCCAGGGAGGCGGCCTGCAGCATCCCTTCCTACAGGAAGTAATTGTGGCTAAGCCAATCAAGAGGTCTCCTCTGAAATGACCCCTGCTTGCCAGACCGAAATAATAATCTCCTGCTAATCCAGGACAGCCGCTAGGAAATCAAGAGTCCAGGTACCGCTGTTGGGAGGCTGACGGGAGTCCTGAATTAACCTTCTAGGCAGTGGGATTCTCCATCATCCAGGTCATGGTTGTCTCTGAAGTAACCATAGCCGCCACCCACCCACCCACATCCCACATCACCGGGAGGCAAAAGGAACGTCTGAAAAAAATCACAAAACCGGGCTAACGGTAATTGTGGGGCAGCCCCCTTCCCCCCCTCTTTTATCCAAGTATGCCTGCTGAACTGTTTACGCAAAGCAGCTCTTGGAAAAAGCCAAGACATTTTTAAGCACAGGCCGAGACCCCACTGTTGATAAGAAAGAAGGGGGAAAAAAAAAAATCCACCAAACCACTTTGGAACAAATTGTTTTCGGCCTCAGGATCCACCCTCTCTCCCAAATTCTTCCTGCCCCTCTTATCTGGGATCCCGGCAAACGGGAAGAAAGAGGCGATCTTCCTTTTGGGGGGGGGAAACCCTGCCTCTTATCCCACTCCTAACTCAAGGCATGCAGCGAAAGGAAAAAGACTCACAGCAGGCGAAAAATACTTACCCAAGTTGGAAATCCCCAGGCCGTTTGGCAAGCGAGCTGAGACTTTTCATCTGCCTGCCTTTCCGAAAGGGATTGGGGGTGGGAGGGGGCCGGGGGAAGAGGGGGAGAAAAGATCAGCCTGCGAACCGGCTGGTGCATGGCACGGCGGGCCGGGCTCGCCAAACATGGGCAAGGCAGGGGATAGCCCCCCACCCCCACCCTGGAAAGGCCGGGAACATGAGTGCCAGGGAGCTGCTGCCGTTGGTGCTGGCGGTGGTGTCAGATCGCAGTCTGCTGCACTGCAGAGACATAGGGAGAGGAGAGGAGGAGAGGCGAGGAGCCGAAGGAGAACCAGAGGGAGCACTCAAAGCCCCACCCAGTCGCAGCCGTTTGGTCTCAGCCGCTGGTTCAGCACTGCCCAAACCAGTTGGAGGAAGCCTCACACCCACGTGCCTGAGTCACTGGCTGAAGCAGCAAGTGGGAAGAGGGCTGAAGCAACCTCAGGGCCCACCTTAGCCCAGCCGACACCCATCCGGGCCGATCGCAGCAGGCATGGGAGCACGGCACAGGAAACCTGGATGCGGTGCCCTCGTGCGGCAACTTCCACACCCACGGGAAGCCTGTCCTCGCCAGGGAACGTGCCCCATCTCACCTCCGCTCCGAAGGGCAGAAGAGGCAGGTTGGGGAAAGGAAATTAACTGCACATCTTAAGCAGCTGCTTGGGGAGTCACGGCCGGTGCTCAACTTACAACAGTGCCTTCCGTGAGCGCTCGAAGTTATGACGGCATCGGAAAAAAGTGACTTAATGACGCCTGTTGCCCACGCTTACTTACAAGCATTGTAGCACACCCCATGGACACGAGATAACAATTCAGAGGCTTGGCCACGGACTCGTATTTATGACGCTCGCAGCGTCCCCGGATCATGTCATCGATCCCCTTTGGCAACCAAGTCAATGGGGAAGCCAGGTTCACTTAACGACTGTGTTGCTCACTTAACAACTACAGTGATTCGCTTAACGACTGCGGCAAGGAAGGTCGTAAACTGGGGCAAAGCTCGCTTTCACAGCTGTCTTGCTTAGCAGCAGAAACGTTGGGGCCAATTACGGTCGTAAGTCAAGGACTCACAAGGAAGGGGTGATAGCAAGCCACAATGAACATGAATTTGAGCAAACTCTGGGAGACAGTGGAGGGTGGCGGGGCACCATGGTGTGAATAAACAACAACAGCCACAAAAGGCGCATTTCAAGACCAGACCTATATTTGGAGAGGTGAGGAGACATGAATTAAGGAAGGAGAGTGCAAGGAGAGTTAATTGCCTTTTCCTTTCAAAGGTCTACGTTGGGCCCAGGAGACACCGGAAACCATTTTTAGAATATCTCATAATTTACTTTGCTTTGGGCAACATCATTCTCTGCCTCGGAAAAGAGGGAATGAGAGCAAACCGGGCCTTCTTTACAAAACAGAGAGATAACGCAACGCACGGTGCAAAACTAGCACCCGGTGCTAGCGGTAGCCAGCCATGGTCTCCACAGCAGTGGTTCTCAACCTTTTTAATGCCGCGACCCCCCCCAACCGGTCATAAGTCGAGGACTACTCAACCGGTCGTAGGTCGAGGACTACTCAACTGGTGCAGCGCCGTTTGCAGAA